CATAATGTAATATATATATTAGATAAATATAGCATTGAAACTGTTTAGTGTTATAACAATATTATTACATACTTTGTTTCCCCTTGTCTGTTATATTTTGCTCGCCTTTTTAGAAACGTTTATTGTATCCTTTTTCTCTCTGAAAATGTATATATTTCTAGCACAATTATCTTTGCATCTTGTTCCTTTTCTTCTTTTTCTCTTACTATTTTAAAAGCAATAGGAAGGAAGGAAGGAAGGAAGGGGAGGAGGAGGGGAGGGGAAGGGGAGGAGGGAGGGAGAGAGGGAGAGAAGGAAGGAAGGAATGAGAGGGAGGGAGGAAGGAAGGAAGAGGAGAGGAAGGGAGAGAAGGAAGGGAGGGAGCAGAGGAGGGAGGAGAGGAGGGAGGGAGGGAAGGAGAGAGGGAGAGAAGGAAGGAGGGAGAGAAGGAAGGAGGGAGGGAAGGAAGGAAGGAAGGAAAGAAGGAAGGAAGAAAGGAGAGGGAGGGAGAGAAGGAAGGAAAGAAAGAGAGGGAGGGAGAGAAGGAAGGAAGGAGGGAGGGAGGGAGGGAGGGAAGGAAGGAAGGAAGGAAGGAAGGAAGGAAGGAAGGAAGGAAGGAAGGAAGGAAGGAAGGAAGGAAGGAAGGAAGAACAGATCTTGGGCAGGAAGAATTTGAAAAGCCCAGTGCCTAGTTTGATCTATCTGTGAGAAACGATTCCTGAACATAAGGAAAACATAAGGATAATAAGCACTTTATTACTCCCAATAAGTCATAGAGCTGCCCCTGAAAGGAATGAAGGGAAGGCCAGAAAAGTGGATTAGATAATTGCAGAGCTTCAAGCCAGCAGCTGAAACAAAGACACAGTGATATAGTTCAGACTTCCCTCCAGAGCTCACATGTTGCTTTCATAGATTCCAGCAGAGCATTAATCTGAATTGTATGCATACCGGCGGGGAGCAGGGAGGGAAATGTCAGTTCTCTATATGACAGAGTTAATTCAGGCTACAGCTGCCGCAGACAGACTTTTTGCAAGGCTCCAGTTGTTTGAATAATTGCAGGAGAGGTAGTCCTCGATTTACAACGTTCATTTCGAGACAGTTCGGAGTTACAAGGGCACTGAAAAATGCGACATGGCCATTTTTCACGCTTAACGACCGTTGCAGTGTCCCCGCAATCACGTGATCAAAATTCAAATGCTTGGCAACTGACACGTACCTATGACGGTTGCAGTGTCCTGAGGTCACGCGATCCCCTTTCTGCCACCTTCTGCCAAGCCAAATCAATGGAGAAGCCAGATTCACTTAACAACCAGGTTGTTAAGTTGATGACTGCAGTGATTCACTTAGCCACTGTGGCAAGAAAGGTCGTAAAATGGGGCAAAACTCAGTCAACAACTTCCTTGCTTAGCAACAGACATTTTGGGCTCTGTTTGTGTTCATAAGCCAGGACTGCCTGTAATTAAATTTCTCTTCAGCCCCTTTAAGGTCTTACTATCATAGAGCTGAGTCTGGAAAAGAAAACGCAGCCCATGATTCAAATGAAGGTAGATCTTGACTTACAACTACTCATTTGGAATAGAATAGAATAGAATAGAATAGAATAGAATAGAATAGAATAGAATAGAATAGAATAGAATAGAGCTGGAAGGGACCTTGGAGGTCTTCTAGTCCAGCCCCCTGCTCAAGCAGGAGAACCTATACCATCTCAGACGGGTGATTGTCCAGTCTCTTCTTAAAAATCTCCAGTGATGGAGTGCCCACGATTTCTGGGAGTAAGCTGTTCCAATAATAATAATAATAATAATAATAATAATAATAATAATAATAATAATAATAATAATAATAATAATAATAATAATAATAATAATAATAATAATAATAATAATAATAATAATAATAAAGTTGGAAGGGACCTTGGAGGTCATCGAGTCCAACCCCCTGCTCAGGCAGGAAACCCTATACCGTTTCAGACAAATGGCTGTCCAGTCTCTTCTTAAAAACGTCCAGTGTTGGAGCATTCACTGCTTCTGGAGGCAGGTTGTTCCACTGGTTAATGGTTCTAACTGTCAGGAAGTTTCTCCTTAGTTCTAGGTTGCTTCTCTCCTTGCTTAGTTTCCACCCGTTGCTTCTTGTCCTGCCTTCAGGGGCTTTGGAGAATAGCTTGACTCCCTCTTCTTTGTGGCAGCCCCTGAGATATTGGAACATTGCTATCATGCCCCCACTCGTCCTTCTCTTTGTTAAACTAGACATACCCAATTCCAGCAACCGTTCCTTATATGTTTTAGCCTCCAGTCCCCTGATCATCTTTGTTGCTCTTCTCTGTACTCTTTCTAGTTGATTGTCCTCACTGTCAGAAAGTTTCTCCTTAATTCCAGGTTGCTTCTCTCTTTGTTCAGTTTCCAACCATTGTTTCTCGTCCTTCTCTCTGGTGCTCTGGTGAACAACGTGACCTCCTCTCCCTTATGGCAGCCCCTCAGATATTGGAACACTGCTATCATGTCTCCCCTATTTCTTCTTTTCTTTAGACTAGCCAAACCCAAGTTCCAAAGGTCTCCAGGCCTTTGATCATCTTAAAAGCCATATACTTGGGACAATTACACTCACAAGTTGAGGACTACTTGTAATGCCTCGACTTACAACCACTATGTCTTAGGACCGTTATTCCGGGTTTAATTACCATTGTACGTTGAAGCCTTCTTGTAAACTGCTGCCGTGAAGGATTTTACTTCTAGAAAAGGTGGCTTTGAGGAAATCAGGGGTTCTCAACCTTGGCAACTTTAAGACTTGTGGACTTCAACTCCCAGAATTCCTCAGCCAGCTGGCTGAGGAATTCTGGGAGTTGAAGTCCACAAGTCTTAAAGTTGCCAAGGTTGAGAACCCCTGATACTAAATCCTTCCCACTTGAGGAGACAATTTAATCCATTGCTTACATCCTCTGTCATCAGGACATTTCAGAAAGATGTTGGCACTCTTTTTCTACCCCGTCTAATCCTACGTACCATTTCCTCTCCTCTGCTGCCAGCTTCTTGCTTCGTATCTGGATTCTTTCAGGGCTGGTCTCCAGCTGCATTTCAGAACATCCTGCTGGGTGTATTTTCATTGTTGTTACGCTTTCCTGACCTTCCCCAATTGTGGGATCTGCGTCAGGCCTCTGCGTGCATTTCTGCTGTCCACATCAATGCCACGGGTGATAGCCGTGGTGGGATTCAAATAGGTGAACAACCGGTTCTCTGTGTGGATGCCGCTTCCGGAAGTCCGTTCTGGGCCTGGTCAACAAAAAATTAGCTACCGGTTCTGCCGAACTGGTGCGAACCAGCTGAATCCCACCACTGGGTGATAGCCACATCATATTTCCTAATTTCCTTGGTAACTGGTAGTGAGACCTTGCAAAGGCAGGCTTGAAAACTAGATCATCCCCAATCTCTTTTATTGAGTTTGAGGGGTCCTTGGCGCTCTCTGAGCTTGGTGGTTTTCTTGCAGACGTTTCATTCCCAAACTAGGTAACATCATCAGGGCTAGCAAGGAATGGGGCTTGCTCTCAGTTTATAATCTGGTAGTGGCTTGCCCTTCCAGTGTTGGTGGGGGGTAGTCATGGTGATTCTTTGGTTGGGCTGTTTACTGTTAGCTTGCTTGGCAGTTCCTTGATTGGGACATTGTTTACCTCTTGACTGTTGGTTTGATGTTAACCTTGGTGTTAATTTATGCTCATCTGGGTGTTGATTGCTGGTGGGGAGGTGTTTGGGTCTTTTTGTTCTTTTTTTGGCTCTGAACCAAGCTCAGACCCTTCATTTCAACCCTGAGATACAAATATTCTCCTTAATTTATTGAGTTTCATCAACCTCTACCAATGTGTCAAAGGGTGAGGGTAAATGTACAGGACACATTTTAACACTTAGTGCCAGAAATAATAATAATAATAATAATAATAATAATAATAATAATAATAATAATAATAATAATAATAGTAGTAGTAGTAGTAGTAGTAGTAGTAGTAATAGTAGTAGTAGTAGTAGTAAAAAGTTGTAAGGGACCTTGGAGGTCATCTAGTCCAATCCCCTGCTCAGGCAGGTAACCCTATACCATTTCAGACAAACGGCTGTCCAGCCTCTTCTTAAAAACTTCCAGTGTTGGAGCATTCACTGCTTCTGGAGGCAGGTTGTTCCACTGGTTAATTGTTCTAACTGTCAGGAAGTTTCTCCTTAGTTCCTAAAAAGTGGCAATATTCGAGTATCACCAGTCACCTAGCAAGGTGTCAAAAACTTGATGACCAAAAAAAAAAAAAAAGGAAAATAGTGACAAAGTACAGGTAGTCCTCGACTTACAACAGTTCACTTAGTGACTGTTCAAAGTTACAATGGCACTGAAAAAAGTGCCCCCCAAGCCACAGCCGACCAAGACACCTGCCTGCCCACCCAGCGGCGCTCTTCCTCCAGTCCGAGGTTTTTATTATTGTGAGCATTTCTGTTGAGGATTGGCAGTGGGGGTGGGGGTGGGGGTGTTTGGTTTTGATTCCCCCCGTCTGCTGGGTGGTTGCAGCAGGTTTTGGTCACTTCACATGATCCTGGGACACTGTGACCGTCATAAATATGAATCAGTTGCCAAGCATCTGAATGTAAATCACAAGACCTTGGAGATGCTGCAACATTCCAGCTGATCGGCACTTCTTCTGGGCTCAGCAGAAGCACCAGGATCAGCGCCGAGCTCCAGCTGGAGCCTGGCGCTGATCCTGGCACTTCCACTGAGCTCTGACAGTCCCGAAGAAGCGCTAATCCTGGCGCTTCCGCTGAGCCCTGACAGCCCTGCAGCTCCAGCCATCTCTCGCTCAGGCTTGTGTGGTGCTGCCACCGGTTCAGCTCATTTTCCTCCCCCGCTACCACTTTTCTAGGATGGTCGTGTACCACCCGCCAGGTGCCAATGTACCACAGATGGTACCCGTACCACTGGTTGGAAAAGCCCTGCGTCTTGTATTCCCAAATTCAGCCCCGATTTATTTCTCTTCCTTATTGTCCCCTTCCTTACAGATCTTGATCATGGAGAGGCCCTCAAAGGGAGTGTCTTTCCTTCTGCTCCTCTGTTGGCTGGGGGTTTCCTGGGAGGCCCGTCTTCCCCGCCCTCTCACCTCTTCCAATGCAACCATCTTCTCCCATGTCTACACAATTAAGGTGGCAGGAGAAGACCCACCAGACAAAGACGCCTCCCCGCCTCCCCAAGAGGCCTTAGGCCCTCCTGGGTCTTCTCGTGGAGGGGGCCAGCATGAGCACACCCTGGAAGGATCCGATCAGGAGCACGTGGTGTTCACCCATCGCATCAACCTCCCACCGCAGTCTTGTGGGTGTCCACCTGGCACCGAAGATACCCGGGAGCTCTGGAGAAGGCTGCAGGCCCTTGAGAGTGAAGTGCGGGTCCTACAGGAAACCTGCCAAGCTGGGGGAGGCTGTTGCCCTGCTGCTGCGTCCACCAGTAGTCAAGCCAGCGAAGGTAAAGGAGGAGGAGGAGGAGGAGGAGGAGGAGGAGGAGGAGGAAGAGGGCAGGGTTGAAGCCTACCTGGCCCTGATTGGAATATTTTATTCCTTGCCAAATTTGTTTCTGAGCTGGGATCAAGGAAACAGGCATTTCATGAATTAAATCCTTTGTTCTTCACCTGATGGCAGCAAGCCCCAGAGACCCCCTCCATCCAGGACAGTTTAAATACATTACAATCGGCCCTTCCTATAGAATATATACCCCTTACCTAGTCGCTTATTTCCCTCCATACATCATTCCATTTAAATTCCTTCCTTAAATTCCTTCCTTCCACCCTCCTTTCTTCCCTCCTCACTCCTTTTCTTCCTTCCCCTTTCTTCCTTCCTTCCCTCCCTCCCTCCTTCCCTCCTTCCCTCCCACCTCCTTCCATCCCTCTGTCTTTTCTTCCCTCCTTCTTTGTTTCTTCCTTCCTTCCTTCTCCCTTCCTTCCTTCCCTCCTTCTTTGTTTCTTCCTTCCTTCTTCCTTCCTTCCTTTTTTCCTCCTTCCATCCCTCCCTCCTTCCTTCCCCTTCCTTCCCTCCCTCCTCCTTCCATCCTTCTGTCCTTTCTTCCCTCCTTCTTTGTTCCTTCCTTCCTTCTTTCCTCCTTCCTTCCTTCCTTTCCTCCTTCCATCCCTCCTCCCTCCTTCCTTTCTTTCCCTTCCTTCCTTCCTTCCTTCCCTTCCTCCTCCTTCCCTCCCTGTCCTTTCTTCCCTCCTTTGTTCCTTCCTTCCTTCCTTCCTTGCTCCCTGCCTCCCTCCCTCCTTCCTTTCTTCCCTCCTCCTTTCTTTCCTCCCTCCCTCCCTCCCTCCAAATAACTTTGTGAAAACCAACCTTTGGAAGATCAGAGTTTTATTCTCATTCAGTCGTACTCCTGGAGGGTAAAACAGGCAGCTGAGCTCACCAGCTTCCTGCCTTGGGTTGTGAATACAGCAATTAAGTGATTTACAGGTGCTCTCTTAAACAATCCCTCCCTCAACCTCCTTATGACTCTCTCTCTCTCTCTCTCTCTCTCTCTCTCTCTCTCTCTCTCTCTCTCTCTCTCTCTCTCTCTCTCTCTCTCTCTCTCTCTCTCTCTCTCTCTCTCTCTCTCTCTCTCTCTCTCTCTCTCTCTCTCTCTCTCTCTCTCTCTTTCTCTCCCCTAGGCCAAACAGACATTCGCACGTTATGTTCGCACCATGGATCCTTTGACCTCTCTCGCTGCCTGTGTGAATGCGAGTCAGGTTGGGGCGGTCCCACCTGCGCGGAGCCGGTCTGCTCCGAAGGCTGCGGGGGCGCAGAACGTGGCAGTTGTGTGAACGGGCACTGCCAATGCCAGCCTGGCTACTCAGGGGTCAGCTGCGAAGAGCCACCCTCTTGCCCCGATGACTGCAATGACCAAGGGCGCTGTGTGGAGGGCCGCTGCACCTGCTTCCCAGGATATGTGGGCCCCTCCTGCTCTGACCCAGTTTGTCCCCAGAACTGCCACGGACATGGCCAGTGCATCTCAGGAGGGTGCGTGTGCAACCCGGGTTACACTGGGACCGATTGTGCAACCCGAGCTTGCCCTAGCAACTGCAACAGGCATGGAGAATGCCGCAATGGACGCTGTGTGTGCGAGCCAGGCTTCACCGGGCCGGCCTGCGGCACCAAGACTTGCCCCAACGATTGTAACCAGAGAGGCCACTGTCTGCAAGGAGGGGTGTGTACCTGCCACCCAGATTACACCGGCCCCGACTGTGGTCAGCTGGCATGTCTGGGGCACTGCAGTGGTCACGGAGAATGTCAGAATGGAACGTGCGTGTGCAACAGTGGCTATTCGGGCGAGGACTGTTCAGTAGGTAGGCACAAAGGTTTATTCAATCAATCAGAATAGAGCTGGAAGGGACCTTGGAGGAGGAGAGTCTATAGTACCATTTCAGACAAATAGCTGTCCAGTCTCTTCTTTAAAAAACCTCCAGTGATGAAGCACCCACGACTTCTGAAGGCAAAGCTGTTCCACTGGTTAATTGTCCTCACTGTTAGGAAGTGTCTCCTTAATCCCGGGTTGCTTCTGTCCTTGATTAGTTTCCATCCGTTGTTTCTTCTCTCGCCTTCTGGTGCTTTGGAAATGAAAGGTGATCCATTTGGAAAATGGGTTGGGAGGGGACATTTCCTGAATCCTTTAGGGCAGTGATGGCGAACCTTTTAGAGACTGAGTGCCCAAAAACCAGCCCCTCACCATCCCGCCTGCTCCGCCCCTTCCCACTCCTCCCACCCCCACTCTGCCCACCATCCCTTGCCCCGCACACCCGCAGGGCCACTCACCGCCACCACGACCCACTGCAGATTGCCCAGGCGGCCCAGCAGCACCATGGCGGCTACGCCCTCCACCCGCGCCCCGCAGCATCAACTGCGCACAACGGGCGCGAGGGTGGAGTCTTGTCCCCGCTGCCCAGCTGCCATGTCCTTGGCTGCACTGCTCCGTGCGGGCTGCGCCCAGAAGTGACTCTCTCCAGGGGGGCTGCTGGTGAGGAGGGGGCCACAAGGGGAGGCGGGGCTGGGGTGACAGCGCACGTGCCCACAGAGAGGGCTCTGAGTGCTGCCTCTGGCACATGTGCCATAAGTTTGCCGGCCACTACTTTAGGGCCTAACCCAGTGCTTCTCAACTTTGGCAACTTTAATAATTTAACTTTGTTCCCTAGCCAGCCAGCCAGAATATTCCGGCTGGCAACTGGCACGTATTTAGGATGGTTGCAACATCCCACATTCATGTGATCACTATTTGTGACCCACCCAGGTGATTTCCAACTAGCAAAGACAATAGGGGAAGCCAGATTTGCTTAATGACTGTGTGATTTGCTTAATGACCGTGGCAAAAAAGATTGTAAAATCAGGCACAGTCATGTCAGGACTCATAATGACCACATTGCTTAATTGCAGTCCCAACTGTGGCCGTACGTCAAGGACTGCCTGTACAGAAAAGCACATTTGCAGCAAACTGGGCCAAACCTTATTTTGCCAGCCTTTAAAAGAGCATTAAAAACATCACTCTTTCTCCAGATCCTTGGGGGTTTAAGCATCTCTGAAAACAACACTGATTTATTCCAGCTTGTTTTAGCTCTTAAATCCCTCTGTGTTTCTAATTGGCTCACATATGCTGGCTGGAGAATTCTGGGAGCTGAAGTCCACACATCTTTAAAATGGCCAAGGTTGGGAAGTGCTGATCTCCTGAATGAATAAACAACATCATTTTTCATAACAGAGAGAGGGAAAAGGAGCTGTAGATTTTTTTGTTTTGCACAAATCTACATGTTACTAAAAAACTCTCCTTCCTGTAACCTTTTACTGGCAAAACAGTACATCACAGGGAAACAGTTTTTCAACCAAGATACCCCAAGTGGTCTAATTTGAAGAATGCATCCAAAATCTGAGACCCATAACTCCCAAGGAAATGAAATTTGGGAAGGTTGTCATGGAATCATAAGGCTGGAAGAGACCTTGGAAGTCTTCTAGTCCAAACCCCGGGCTAAGACAGGACACCTTATACCAGGGGTAGGCAACCTCGGCTCTTTTATGACTCGCGGACTTCAACTCCCAGAATTCCTGAGCCAGCATGGCTCAGCTTGGAAACCTCTCCCTTTCCCCTCAGCATGGCTGGCTCAGGAATTCTGGGAGTTGAAGTCCACGAGTCATAAAGAGCCAAGGTTGTCTACCCCTGCCTTATACCATTCTTGACTAATGATTGTCCAGTTTTGTCTTGAAAATGTCCAGCAATGGAACCTCCACAACTCCAGGAGGCAAGCTGTTCCATGGATTAATCGTTCTCACTGTCAGGAAATTCCTCCTTATTTCCAGGTTGAGTCTCCCTCTGATGAGCTTCAGTGCTGCTGGGCTGCTGCTGCAATCATGTGATACTCATTTTGAACATTCTGTGACAGTTTCCCAGCCACTCTCACAATCCCTCACTTCCTTCCCCCACCCACAGCAACCACTTACTAGCCCAGTGATGGCGAACCTTTTAGAGACCGAGTGCCCAGACTGCAACCCAAAACCCACTTATTTATTGCCGGGTGCCAGGTGGGCGTGGCCCACTGTGTGGGCATGGCTGTGGTGGTCATGGCAGACTGGGTGGGTGTGGCCAAGGTGGGTGTGGTCACCACAATGTTGCTCGTGGGGAGAGATGCCTATGGGGGCTGGGCAGGGTTGGGGGAGATCCAGGGGGTCTCTGGCAGGTGGGGCGGTGGGCAAGAGGCTCATCCTGTGGAGTGAGGCGAGGCAAGGTGAGGCAGGGCGGGAGTGCCATTGTCACAGGGCAAGGAGAGGCAGGGGCCAGGGTGGCTGCTGCCTGACACCATCGGCCCCCGCACACAGAGGCCAGCGAGCGCATGGGGGTTGACAGTGTCTGTCAGCAGCCACAGCCTGCCGGCCTCTCGAACAGCACACTCTGGGGCTCTGCAGCTTGTCGCCAGCAGTTCAGAGAAGCCGCCTCTGAGCTGGACGGCCGGCCGACAACTGAGGAGGCGATGCAGTGGGTTGTGCCTGGGAAAAGGAGAGCACACGAGGCCAGGAGGGATGGGATGGGGAGGAGGGAAACCAGCCATGCTGGGATGCATCCGGCCACGTGGGATCTCGGCGAGTTAGCAGGCGGCTGGTTGAAGAGGGACAGTTGCCATCTCTGGGGCATGGTGCATGTGCCCACAGAGAGGGCTCTGAGTGCCGCCTCTGGCACGCGTGCCATAGGTTCGCCACCACTGTACTAGCCTGCTTGGAAGGGAAGGGAAGTAGGAAGGGAGGGAGGGAGAGACAGAGGACTAGGGAGGTAGGGAAGGCAGGAAGGAAAATTCTCTGCTAACTTCCTACAAGGAAACTCAATGGGGAAGCTGGCAGGAAATCAGAATCTGCTCCCACACCCATTGGTTTTTTTGCCCACCCATGGTCATTCTATTTCTGTTTAGATAATTTATATTTCTGAAACAATGACCCAATAGGGCACAGATTGTCTAGTGTTGAACTAGTATGGAATATTGAGGTGTGCACCTTGATTAAAAGTGAGGCTCACTGACAATCTCCCCTCAGGCAACAAAATGTCTCTTCAAGGCAATATTGTCTTAGCAAAGTTCTGAAGAGATGATCATAAAGTAAGAAAGCAAGCAATATTGGTTCCTGCTCTTATACATACACACACACACACACACAAACCATCTTTTTTCTTGGCCTAAACAGAGATTCCATCCATTGGTGTCCGTGTCTCAAATCGAGATGAAACCTCTTTCCGCCTGGAGTGGAACTACCCCGAGATTTCTGTGGACGGATATGAGATCTACGTGGCACCCACGGTAAAAAGAGATACCTCGGGACAATGTGCTTGTGCAGCAGAAGTGGAGAATCCAACTTGTACTGCCATCCAAATATTGCTGAACTATAACTCCCAGCAGCCCCAGGCGGTGTAGCCAGGGCGAATGCTAGTAGCTGTAGTTCTTCAATATCTGGGTTCAACCCAGAACTCATTTGTATTCATCTTAGCTCCTACTATAAGGAAATGATGGGACTTTTTTTAGGCTACTAAAGGCCAGTCCACCCGCCCTGGTTGTCTGTTTTTGGAGGGCGCAGCCCACCTCAAACACCTTTTCTGACTGTGTTTTCCTAATCCATATGAAAATAATATTTTCCAGGTTGAGTCAGCTCCAATTGCTTGTGGTATTTAACTTTGTATTGGTAGGAGCATCCAGTGTGTGTGTCTCTGTGTGTATGTGTGTATGGAGAGAGAGAGAGAGGGAGAGAGAGAGAGAGAGAGAGAGAGGGAGGGAGGGNGAGAGAGAGAGAGAGAGAGAGAGAGAGAGAGAGATGATCAAAGCTCTGCCCTTTTCTATGTGCATCACCCAAGTAATGTACATTAAAAAAAATAGCTACCTACTTTTCCAGTGCAATTTTTTAAATTCATCAATGCACCATTGAAACACAGGAGGAGGGAAATTTAGTTCAGTCCCAGATAAATTCATTCATTCATTCCACTTCCAGAAAGAAATACGAATAGCAGTTGAGTTCCCCCCCCACCAATGCACAGGGGAATTGCACTACTCACAGAAAAACCTTTTTATTTAGAACTAGCTGTACCCGGCCACGCGTTGCTGTGGCTCAGTCTGATTAAATGGAAAAGAAAGAAAAGAGAAAGCGCACGTTTGTTTAATTTCACAATGCTAGTGTGTGTTGCTTTTACGTCCAACAGATGGCGCTGTTTTTCAAAAAAAGCATGTTTTTACCTGTCACAGGTGTGACATCTATATAATAGTAGGTATATAAAAACACGTGCGTATTCGAATGCAACCTTTTGTCAAAATTTCAAAGCAATCGGTGAAGAACTTTCGGAGATTTAAGATTTTGAACCAACGAACATTTACATTTTTATTTATTTAGAATTACAGGAGGCTGGGTTTCTTGAAAGATTTTTCAGACCAGCCTCACTTTCCCTCCACTTCCCAATCTCATTCCAAACAAAATGATTTAATCAAGCCCTTGTGAGCATCTGTATGTTTTGTGGTGTCACTCTGTCTCTTTTTTTTTCCTTTCCAACCTGCAGAAGAATCCTCGGGCAGGTGAATCCACACACCTGTCTGGCACCGAAAGGATCTTTGAATACAAAGGATTGAAACCGGGGGAGGAATACACAGTCACCGTTCGGGTAGAAAAAGGGCAACACTACGGACCCCCTGTCACCCAGACCGTGCGTACGCGTATGTAGTCTGGAGCCATGACTCCATTTCTGTCTGCCTCTCTACCTCGTGCCCCATTTTTCTTTCTCTTCCGCCTGTTCCTTGTGTGTGCAAATTCTCTCCTCCTTGTTGGGCAGGAAATCTAGGTCTGGCCCATCATGAGCAAAGAGGCAGAATTCAATTCTCGCTGAGTCACACATTTATTCAGATCCGGTCAAAGATGGGTCCTCCCAGAAAGCTGGAAAAATCCCGAATGATTTATTTGGTCTGCTTTTATACTTTATGTGGTGATACAAGCGAGAAAACAGCCGTTTGTATGAAACTAGATCAGGGGTAGGCAACCTTGTCTCTTTTATGACTCGTGGACTTCAACTCCCAGAATTCCTGAGCCAGCCATGCTGAGGGGAAAGGAAGAGGTTTCCAAGCTGAGCCATGATGGCTCAGGGATTCTGGGAGTTGAAGTCCACGAGTCATAAAAGAGCCAAGGTTGCCTATCCCTAGTGTAGGGTCTCCTGCTTGAGCAGGGGGTTGGACTAGAACAGGGGTAGGCAACCTTGGCTCTTTTATGACTCGTGGACTTCAACTCCCAGAATTCCTGAGCCAGCCATGCTGAGGGGAAAGGAAGAGGTTTCCAAGCTGAGCCATGATGGCTCAGGGATTCTGGGAGTTGAAGTCCACGAGTCATAAAAGAGCCAAGGTTGCCTACCCCTAGTGTAGGGTCTCCTGCTTGAGCAGGGGGTTGGACTAGAACAGGGGTGGGCAACCTTGGCTCTTTTATGACTTGTGGACTTCAACTCCCAGAATTCCTGAGCCAACCATGCTGAGGGGAAAGGGAGAGGTTTCCAAGCTGAGCCATGCTGGCTCAGGAATTCTGGGAGTTGAAGTCCACGAGTCATAAAAGAGCCAAGGTTGCCTACCCCTGAACTAGATAAAAAGCAGAAGTTGCTACAATATCGTTGCTTGCCCAGTACATTTCAGAAGTATATTTAGAAAGAAAAATATTTAGCAGATCCAATTGCCCCTATTCGTGGTTTCCTTTCATGCTTCTCCTGAGCTATGGACGGTTGCATATTATTACAACTCATTTATTCTTTGTAATTCAGTCATTTCAATATAAGATTCTTGATCACCACAATCCTGAACAACATCCCCCTTTTTTTCCCCCATGCGTCCTTACCTCGATGAGTATTAAGAATTCAGGCACCTTGTTTATTCCACAACACAGCTTCTTTATGCATAAGCAGCCCATTTTATTTATGAATTACAGGCAGTCCTGCAATTGTTATAGTTTGCCAGACCTTAATGTGTTCTCCTCTTTCTTTCTATTTCTTTTTTTCTGTTTTTATTCTCATGATAAATAAATAAAAACGAAGAATGAACATCCTCATTAAGATCCTGCCTGGACCTGCTCTAATCATCTAGGACAAAGATCTTCAAACTTGGCCCTTTTATGACTTGTGGACTTCAACTGCCAGAATTCCTCAGCTAGGCACGCCTGGCTGAGGAATTCTGGGAGTTGAAGTCCACAAGTCATAAAAGGGCCAAGTTTGAAGACCCCTGATCTAGGAAATTAGTAAGAGGGGGAAAATGCATTAAAATGGATTTAATTAGGCTAGTTTACTAGGAGATAGATCAGGCCATTATTGAATAATGGTTTATATCTTCCAGTTGGTTATACTACTTTCTCTGCATTTGATCTTTACCTGCATTAAATAGCTACAGCTCCTGTTATCTCTTGTTTAGGAATAATTGGTCTGGGATGCAAGAATGTTCGTGGAGATTCTCAGTCATCCAGGTCATGGTTGTTCCAAAGGTGTGTTGTTGTTTTTTCAAGAGGCAACTGGACTTTCTTTGTTTTTCCTTGGAGACATTTCGCTTCTTATCCAAGAAGCTTCTTCAGTTCTGACTGAATGGTGGAGAATGGAAGGATTTACAACACAGGCCTTTCAGCAGTTCCACACATATTTGCACTATTCAGGTGAACCTGGGACACAGATAAACCTCCCAGTGGTCTTAAGGACCCTCAGAGAGTGCTAATGACCAGAAGACTGCAAGAAATATAAATCTTTCCGGTCTGCCCCAGAAGCTTCTTGGATGAGAAGCGAAATGTCTTCAAGGAAAAAAAAAAAGTCCAGTTGCCTTTTGAAAAAAAGCACTTTGGGGACAAGGGTCTTAATGACCACTAGATGGCAGCAAAGAGTTATATTATTATTATTATTATTATTATTATTATTATTATTATTATTATTATTATTATTCTAGCTCTCTGCTGTTATTTTGATGTCATCGGGCTCAAGAGGTCCCCAACTTTTCGGGCACCAGGGACCGGTTCCGTGGAGAGAGGTTTTTCCACGGACCGGAGGGGGCGTGGTTTCGTGTGCTGCCTGCATCTCACGGATGGGGCTTTCCTTGTTTGTGCGGCCCGGTTGTCGGCATGCCGTGGCCCAGTACTGGTCCACAGACCGGGGGTTGGGGACCCCTGATCTGGATTTTACAGGCCAGATATGGTACCCCTGCTCTTCTTTACTCCTTTCACTAAGCCCAAGTCCATCTCTTTCCAATTCCAATTGTTCCCCACCTTTATTCCCAATCCCTTTTGCCATGTTTTGTGTTTCATGTGTCTCTTCCTTTTCTCCAGGAGTGGCCCCTCCCAATGGCCTGCACTCATCACAGGTGTCTGAAAACTCCCTGACCTTGCAATGGGAACCACCTACCTCTCGCCCCGATGGCTACGTCCTCAGCTACGTCCCTCTGTCTCCCACTCGACCCGTCCAAGCCATGAAACGTGTAGAGCTGCCGGCAGTCCCTGAGCGTGTTACCTTGGAAGACCTGGAGAGCAGAACGCGATACCGCATCACCTTGGTTGCCCGTCAGAGTGGCGAGAACAGCCGAGCCACCAGCATTGTTGTCAGCACCACAGGTAGCTCACTAGGGTCTTGTCTGCCTTGGAGGTGAGGAACTGTGGCCCTTTTATGACTTGCGGACTTCAATTCCCAGAATCCCTGAGCCAGTCCACAAGTCGTAAAAGGGCCATCGCTCTACACCCCTAGTCTAGAACTTTCTTCTCTCTGGAAATGTCTATAGAGATTCTCAATCATCCGGGTCACGGTTGTCCCAAAGGTGTTTTTTCCAAAAGGCAACTGGACTTTCTTGCGGAGTTTTTTTTTCCCTTTTGAAAATGTTTCACTTTTCATCCAAGAAGCTTCTTCAGTTCTAACTGGCTGGTTGGGAATGGGAGGGTTTATCTTCTTTGCAGTCATCTGTGCTCTGAGGGTTGATCGTTTCTGATATATTCCTGCAGTGTGTGGAATAATGATTCAATGTTTTGGAAAATGCACTTTTGTGTGGAAAGCATCAAAAGAAAGAGAACAATGAGCTGGGCTGCTTCCGAGAGCAGAGAATATTGAAAAAAATATATATTCCCGTAAAAAAAGTATTTTAATGGGCAGAGCAATGGTGTCAGATTTGGTTTGTTTAAATCACGTATTTACTCTAGACCAGAGGTAGGCAACCTTGGCTCTTTTATGACTCGTGGACTTCAACTCCCAGAATTCCTGAGCCAGCATGGCTCAGCATGGAAACCTCTCCATTTCTCCTCAGCATGGGTGGCTCAGGAATTCTGGGAGTTGAAGTCCACGAGTCATAAAAGAGCCAAGGTTGCCTACCCCTACTCTAGACACTTGCAGGAAAGTTTATATATTTTTATAAAATCTGATTGCCAATACCAAGAACTACAAAGCATAAGTTGCTGCAAACTTTAAATTAGTGTTTCTTGACCTTGGCAACTTTAAAATCTGTGCATTTCAACTCTTCAAATTCCACACTCAGCCATTCTGGCTAGAGAATTCTGGGAGTTGAAGTCCAAACATCTTAAAAGTTGCCAAGGTTGAAAAAAAACAGTGCTTTAAGCAATATTGATTTGGGACAGAATTTTAAGAATTTTTGTTTATTCTCCTGGTAAAATCTTTCTGTCCCAATTTTTTCTGTGGCAGATCCATGATCCTCCAGGCTAACCTAGAACCTTTGGCCTTCCCTTTCACAGCTTCCCGTAAAGATAGGCTTTATAATTCTGTGAACAAATTAGCAGCCTTGATTATCCAGTATTCTCAGAAAAACATTCTTCTAGTGTTTTGTCAGTAATGGCTTATTTAAGCTTTATTTGCAGTGTGTGATGAAATGACCAGAAATAAGTCTGAAAGAATTCTGAAAGGTGGTTTCTGCATTCTTTCACTATGGAAGCCTCTTTCCCCACAATTATACTGTCTTTTTTCTACCAAGGACATCTCAAGTCTTTTTTTTTTTCTTTCCTTCAGCAGTTATGATTGCAATTCCTTTTTTATTTGAACTTCCTCTATGTAATCCACAGATCTCTGAAAATCAGACCACCGGAGTTTCCTGGAAGCAATGTATAAAAAAAAAAGACTAATTCCATCTGTTTTATTGCAGCTTTGGGGAAATTCAGGATCGGCAGTCTGGATAAGTCACCAAGTCTAACTTTGTAATGAGATGTGCCAACACCAGTCTAAACCAGTTACAGCGATGGGAAAATTAAAAAGCTAGATTAAGTAGGGCTCCCTACAGCTAGTCCTCGATTTACAATCACAATTGAGTCCAAAGTTTCTGTCGCTAAACGAGACAGCTGTTCAGTGAATTTTGCCCCATTTTACAGCCTTTCTTGTAAAATGAATTGTTAAATGAATCGTGGCGGTTGTTTAAGTTAGTAACCCGCTTGTTAAGTGAATCTGGCTTCCCCATTGATTTTGCTCGTCAGCATGTCACGAAAAAGGATCACATGAACCCAGGACTTCTGCAACCGTCAGAAATACGAGTCAGTTGCCAAGTGCCTGAATTTTGGTCAGGTGACTGCAACGGTCAGACGTGTGAAAAATGGTCCTAGGTCCTTTTTTCAGTGTCATTGTAAACTTCAAAGGGTCACTAAATGAACTGTTGTAAGTCGGGGACTATACCTGTATTTCTAGCTGCTAGCCATACATCTCATCTCCGTGACTTATTCCCCCTGAGTACCTTGCCATAACCTCCTGCGTTTTTGATCCCACCAGCACCAGCTCCAATTCAGCCAAGTCGCCACCACTTGACACCAACCCCCTCTTCCCATAAAAAGCCAGACACTTCCTCTTCTGAGCCTGAAGAGAAGAAACCTGGCACTAAACCACATCCGGGTCGCCGCCCGGCGAACACCACCTTGCTGACTAAGGAGCACTTCCTGAAGAGAATGACCCAGAATATCTCATCCAAACTGTCCCCCTACAATGGGACTCTCCTTGAGCGGCTCGAGAGCTACCTCCGGGCCATCAGATTCCCTCTCCGAGGCAACCAGACAATCCAGAGTGTGGCCAGGGACATCTACCTCTACCTCAAGCGTGCAAAGCCAATTGAGTTTCAAGAGAAGGTTGAAGAACGTCTTGTCCACGAAACCAGTAACTTGCCCGTGAAAAGGGAATTCCCAGTAACCGAAACAGAGAGCGTCTACTCAGAGGGATACCTCCGTCCAGACCACGCCAAGCCAACCGTGGTGACCAGCTCCCCCGATCACATTGAGGTGTCTTTGGACAGCGTGAGGGGGATTTCTGACCATGTGGTCATCCGCTACCGAAACATGGTGACTGGAGAAATAAAGGAGTTAGTGGTGCCTGGAAATGCGTCTACAGCCATCATCACCGGATTGTCACCCGGAACAACCTACTTGATGGAAATTCATGGGGTCATGAAAGGACATTCCTCTAAGTCATACTCCTTTATAACTGCCACAGGTACCAGGGTTGGTAGGGCAGTTGTTCACCTCGGCAATTTTCTCTCTCCTTTTGCCTGCGATAGTTGCCTCACATGCCTTGTTTGTGTTGTTGCAAAGTCGAGCTTCTGCGGCACCCACACATGGCCAAATATTTAATCACACGTTGCTTTCACGTTCTCCCCCAAGTTGCTTGGACAGTAGGCTGCTAGATATTTTCCTCCCTTAAGAGAAAGCCTTTCACGCAAACGTCACAATCTCCACCAGCTAATTTCTTCTTCAAGCCAAAATGCGGCCTTACCTGCTACTTCAAAGTTTGTTTGATCTGTTTTGTTTTTGCTACACGCCGGTTCTTATAGCCCGAGTGCTTCCCGTCCACCTTTTCTATGTTGTCCTGGGTTCCTCTGACATCTACTTGCAAAGCGTTAAACGATGGGATGTTTTTCCACTAAATTTAACCACGCGAGGAAGAATTTTATTACAGTTGTGGATGATATTATATGCAAAGAGCTTAGAGAACGCAGAGAAGTGACTGAAATATACTGAATTATGTCTTAATAATTTAAAAGCCTGGCTTTCTTCTGAAGAAGTTTCCATTTTTATCCTTACAGCTGTCCTGAGAAAGAATAATTTGTCCAATATCACCCCACAACAGCCCCTGTCTCTCCACAAAGCCTATATATGAATATGTGTGTGTATATATATATATATATATACACACACATATTCACATATATATATATGAGTGTTATGCCCAATTTTCTACTTATTTACTGAAAGGTTTTACACAATTTAGTAAAACATTCCTCAATATGTTGGCTCAAATATATACAAGTGACAGCCAAGGTTTGTCAAAACTGAAGAAATCAAAATCAGATCATCAAAACATTCACGTGTGGACGTTGAAATCACACTGAAAATTGCCTATGTGTAGAGCATTGTCCCGGTCCTGGTGTTCTCCTGTCTTATGTGTTATTTTAATTGTTAATACACTGCTCGCTTTCTTGTTTTTTTTCAGCCACAGTCGGTTGCTGACGTTGCTCAAGTGAAGCCTTTTTGTGTTTAATCACTTTAATCTTCCAGGCTTCTCGTTCTTGCCTTGATGTTGTATTTATGTGGCTGAAAACTTTCTTTTCAGCTTCCGTTCCAACAATGTTGGCTTTCAGTGTCAAGCCAGCTTACGCCATTGCTCTGTTGCTCCTGCTGCTGCTGCTGCTGCTGTTGCCGCCACCTTCACACATCCAAACCGCAACCTCCAAGTGTCTGTCTTACTGTTTAGCTGGGATATCTAGGTTTTATTTTCCGAAAGGAAGGGAAGCTATTCTAAAGTCTTTACTTGTTCTTCTCGCAGTAGCGGGAAGATCAGCTCCGATATATGTCTGGCTAGCATACCTCTCAGTTGAATTGAACCTTAGGGCTGGTTCCCACGATAGTGTTGGGCAGTTTCTACGCACCTCCCACTCTGTGAAAACCAGCCGTTGACTTACCAGGTTGAGCAACCATCACACTGAGCCATAAAACGGATTGCAGATAGTTCCTGAGTTTCTATCACAATGGAGCCCGTCGATCAAAACTCGCGAGGGTTATAAAGTGGGACGGTTGTGTGACAAACACAATTTTGCTACCGTTTGTGCGGTGATCGTTGGGTGAACATTGGGAGCAGTTTTGCCAAAATTGTGAAGTAAATGCCAGGTTTTGGCAAAACCGATGTAAAATATGATAATGTGACAGTGGGATGCTGCAAACAGCCGTAAATGAGATCCGGTTGCCAAGCAACCAAAGTTCTGTTATGTGACTGAGGGAGGTGATCGTCAGAACGTTGAATCTAGGTTTTAAGTACCCCCAAGATAGGGCCATTGGAATTTCAAATGGCCACTTAATGACTGTTCATAAGTCGAGCACTAACTCTGCAGGTAGTCCTTGATTTACGGCCACAACTGAGCTCAAAATTTCTGTTGCCAAACAAGACAGTTGTTAAGTGAGTTTTGCCCCATTTTACGACTTTTCTTGCCACAGTTGTTAAATGAATCACTGCAGTTGTTAAGTTAATGACCTGGTTGTTAAGCGGAAATCACATAACCCCCGGGACAAGGCAACGGTCATAAATACATGCCACTTCCAACCGTTTGAATTTTGATCATGGGGATGCTGCACCAGTTGTGTGAAAAATGATCACAAGTCACACTTTTCAGTGCTGTCGTAACTTCGAACGGTCACTAAATGAATGGTTGTAAGTCAAGGACTACTAGTATTTGCTTGGACGTAGCCTGTTATGTGAATGCAAAAATTGTGGTTTTTCAAGCCAGGTTAAGCACGTTGTCTAGATGATATTTGCATCAATTCCAAACACTTAAAATCGTAATAATATGAAAAGGGATTCTTGAACAAATTTCCTTGTTTAAATTTAAGGTAAACAAAATATACTTATATAAAAGGTGGATAAAAATGGGAGAATTGGGTGATCTATGCAGAGACTTCCAACCGTGGAAAATAACTAGTTACTGTAATGGAGGAAATGGGCTTGTCTAGATTTCAAAAAGTTTGTGTATTTAGAATTGGGTGCTATGTGATTCAGGAAGCACTGCCCTTGCTCTGAATTGAAGTTCTTTATCTTTAGATAAAGTTTCCAGTTCAGAAAAAAAAAATTGGCACCAAAACCAATGCTCCTTAAGAGAAGCAGGAAAGGAAGGACAAAATCTTGAAAGCTAAATAACAAAATTCAATTCTTACCTTCAAAATAATTCCTGGAATAACACCACCTGTTCTGTTTATCTTTTTTAATTAATTTCCCTGTCCTCGTATTCCTTATCATTGGTTCTGTTAAGTTGAGGTATTTTAGAAAATACATAATTATTGAATTTGGCATCTTATTTATTGCCATAATGATTCATTATTTTGGCATAAGATGTTTTATAGAGCTTAGTTCCTTAGCATGACTATTTGTATAGACTACTTAAAACAAAACTACACTCTGCTTAAAATAATACACTTATAAAAGTTTGTTTTGGGTACTTCCACAATATTAACCACAGAAAACCCTTTATTATAAAATTAAGTTCATTTTAATTGAGATAGAACCGTTGAAGCATTTCAGTAATTAACAACTGATCTTTGGAAATCCAGAAATCACAATTTTTGTGAATTTTTCTCTCATCTAGTATAGCAAGCATGTCAAACTGCCGGCCCGCGGGCCGGATGCGTCAGGCCGAAACCGCGCCCACCCCATTGCCAGCAATGGGGGAAAAGCCACAATACGTCGTGCGATGTCACGTGATATCACGAGTTTGACATGCCTGTAGTATAGGATTGGGAATGTTATTTATTTATCAGATTTAGGGAGACCGACCATCTCACTCAAAGAGCGACTCTGGTTTTGAATCAGAGATTTCCTATTACTGATTCTCAGGTAACAATCTGTCACATTTCAAAGGCTCAGAGATTCAAACTGCAATCAAAAGACACACATACACATAGATACAGGTAGGCCTCGAATGACAACCATTCGTTTAGTGACGATTCAAAGTTACCACAGTGCTGAAAAAAGGGACCATTTTTCACACTTAATGACCGTTGTTGCAGGGTCACGTGATCAAAATTCAGGGCCTTGGCAACTGGTATGTATTTACGACGGTTGCCGTGTCCCAGGGTCATGTGATCCCCTTTTGCGACCTTCTGACAAGCAAAGTCAATGGGGAAGCCAGATTCACTTAACAACCGTGTTGCTACCTTAACAACTGTAGTGATTCACTTAACAACTGTGGCAAGAAAGGTCGTAAAATGGGGCAAAACTCACCTAACTATCTTGCTTAGCAATGGAAATTTTGGACTCAGTTGTGATCATAAGTCGAGGACTACCTGTACACACACACACACACACACACACACACACACACACTGACTAAGGTGCCTTCTATAAAATCCGAGAAGTAGAGAAAAATGCTGGCCAGACTAACCAAAGGAGGAAGTTTCTGAAACTTTTTTTTTTTTTAAACAGTTTCTGGTTCCCTCACCTCAAATCTCTTTTCCTTCAGCTCCAAGTTCACCAACGAATGACAAGATCCGAACCATCACCCCACCCATCTTAACTCCGCTGAAGAACCTACAAGTGACCGAAGTCTCTCCGAACCAGCTCCGTGTAACCTGGTCAGCCCCGCCCAATTTCTTCCACAATTTTTCCCTCTACTATAGGGACCCCAAATCTGGGGCACCTCCAGAAAAAATCAGCATTCCAGGAACAGAGAGAAGTGTCGACCTAATGGATTTGCACCCTGGGATAGAGTATGAAATAGAGTTACATGGAGAGAGAGCTGGTGGAAGCTACAGCGCCCCCTTCTCCACAAAAACGATTACAGGTACCCTCGCTATGTTCCTAAACTCGTCAAGTTCTGACTGGCATCTTGATTTTGTTCTGCTTCAGATTTTCCTTTTTCGGGCAAAGGAGATGATAGAATGTATATTTCCGACGAGATGAAGGACATTTTCTGACCCGCTGACCGTTGTGTTTCATCTGTGTCCCGATGCAGTCTGTGTCATTGCTCAGGATTCTGGCTCCCACTTAGAACATAGAGCAGGGGTAGTCAACCTTGGCTCTTTTATGACTCGTGGACTTCAATTCCCAGAATTGAAGTTGAAGTCCACGAGTCATAAAAGAGCCAAGGTTGACTACCCCTGACATAGAGTAAGAGGGTTGGAAGGGACTTTGGAGGTCTTCTAGTACAACTTCCTGCCCATTCTGGACAAATGGCTGTCCAGGCTTTTCTTGAAAACCTCCAGTAATGGAGGATTCGCTTGCTGGATGGGAAGGGCTAGGTCTGCTTTGATTCAGCTTCAAAGTAACCTTTTGGTGGTCTAGAACAGGGCTTTTCAACCTTTTCACCCATTGTACCACTTTTAGGATATGGCAATATCCGAGTACCACCAGTCGCCTAGCAAGGTGTCAAAAACACGATGACCCCCCCCAAAAAGGAAAAAAAGTGATGAAGTACAGGTAGTCCTCGACTTACAACAGTTCGCTTAGTGACTGTTCGAAGTTACAATGGCACTGAAAAAAGTGCCCCCCAAGCCACAGCCGAGTAAGACACCTGCCTGCCTGCCTGCCCGGCCGCGCTCTTCCTCCTGTCCGAGGTTTTCATTGTTGTGAGCATTTCTGTTGAGGATTGGCAGCGGGGGTAGGGTGGGGAGGTGTTTGGTTTTCATTTCCCCCATCTGTTGGGTGGTTGCAGAAGGTTTTGGTCACTTCACATGACCCTGGGACACTGTGACCATCATAAATATGAATCAGTTGCCAAGCATCTGAATGTAAATCGTAAGACCCTGGAGATGCTGCAACATTCCAGCTGATCGGTGCTTCTTCTGGCCTCAGAAGTGCCAGGATCAGCGCCAAACTCCAGCTGGAGCCTGGCGCTGATCCTGGCTCTTCCGCTGAGCCCTGACAGCCCTGCAGCTCCAGCCATCTCTCGCTCAGGCTTGTGCGGTGCTGCCACCAGTTCAGCTCATTCCCCTCCCCCGCTACCACTTTTCTAGGATGGTCGCGTACCACCTGCCAAGTGCCAATGTACCACAGATGGTACCCGTACCACTGGTTGAAAAGCCTTGGTCTAGAAGCACCCAAACAGCAATGGGGCTAAAATAGCCTTCTCTGTCCATCAGCGCCTTTTTCACACACTACTCACCTCTGCAATCCTTACTCTGAATTTTTCCCAAACCATTAGCTTTTGAACAGGCTAAAACTAATTTTTGTAAGCCAACCCTTGCCAATGCAAATACAGTGTAACACGGTATATTTTACTTATTCACCCATAGGTGAGACCTGCCAGACTCATACGTACAGCCCTATTTTCTCCCATCATCTGTCTTTCCTCTTCTTCCAAGAAATTCCTAGCCGTCATTTTCTCTTTCCTTTTTCTTGTCAGCAGTAGAACCGGAAGAGCCCAGGCCGGGAGATTTCTCTCTTTTAGATGTCACAGACACTTCAGTTCACCTTTCCTGGGATGCCCCCACTGGGCCTTTTGACTCCTTTGTGATCCAATATAAGGATGCCGAGGGCAAGCCCAAGGTGCTCCGAATGGACAAGAACACCCGAGAAGCCACGATTTCTAACTTGGTGCCCTCCCGAAAATACCGATTCAACTTTTACGTTATCCTAGGCCGTAAGCCCTTTGGCCCCGTGTCCTTGGAAGTAGTCCCAGGTAAGCGATGGGTTCTGAACACCGTCTTTTGTCACGAATTGGAGATGAGATGTTGCGCGAAGCCAAAATCAACTAGAGCAGTGTCTCTCTCAACCTCAGCAACTTTAAAATGTGTGGATTTCAATTCCCAAAGTTCAGATATGGGTAGTCCTTGCTTACCTAATGATAGTATTTTTTTTTAAACATAGCTTTGCAACTAATTTTGGGAGTTGAAGTTTACCGATCTTAAAGTTGCCAAGATTGAGAAACACTGAAGTGTTGTAACAGAAATGGGCTTCCAGAGAAAATTTATCAGCTGCTCTATTTGCAGGATTCGGACTGTGGATAACATTGCTGAAATAGTCCAAACAAAACACGGTCACACAAGGCAGACAGTCATCATGCTTCAAAACGTAATTAAGGCAGTATATTTGTTCATCTTAAAAAACCCTCTCTTTTTTTGATAATAAGCTGAAGCAATGCAGTTTTTGAGCAGGTCCAGTGAAGTAGATTTATTACTGCTACACCTACAATTATGGCTTATAAAATTATTTTCGTCACTGTCGCAATTACACTATAGATTATTTCACTGACATTCTTCCCTTACACAATGTGCATCATATTTCATGATTCTGTACATTTGCAAACTGTATTTCAAGTGTATGATGATCTCTTCCTGCCCAAGAATCTCCACAGCCGAGCTACTTGCAATTCTCCACTTTTGTGTGAGTTTCCCAAGGACTTTCTAAGCCAGTGGTGGCGAACCTATGGCACAGGTGCCAGAGGCGGCACTCGGAGCCCTCTCTGTGGGCACACGTGCCATTGCCCCAGCCTCACCTCCCCCCGTGACCCCTTCCTCTCCAGCAGCCCCCCTGAAGGAGAGTCACCCCTGAGCATGGCTCACGCGGAGCACCACAGCCAAGGACATGGCAGCCAGGCAGCGTAGACAATACTCTGCCCTCACATCCCATTGTGCACAGTTGATGCTGCAGGGCGTGGGGGGAGGACGTGACCGCCATAGCACTGCTGGGCTGCCTGGGTGATCTGCGGCGGGCCCTGGAGGCGATGAGTAGCCTTGCAAGCAGGCGGGGCGGGGGATGGGGAGGTGGAGCGGGGGCGGGGCAGGGGTGGAGCAGGGGCGGGGCCAGTTTTTGGGCACTCGGTTTCTAAAAGGTTCACCATCACTGTTCTAAGCCCTGTTCTGACCTTGCAGCACTGTCTTTATTTATTTGTTTATTTGTTTGTTATACCTTGGCCCTATCCAAGCATTCTGGGGAGCTTGCATCTATTATAATTATGCGAATCAGGCGGCGCACGTTTAATAAATTGTGACTTGTTGTTGTTATTAAAGCAGCATATTCTATTAAAATGACATTCCTTGTTTTCCTTTCTTTTGTTTTTTGTTTTTTGTCATAGGCTCCAGTAGCACTTTTAAAGACGTTTCTGCCACTGTCACTAGCAATTCTGCCCACTTGTCCTGGACAGTCTTCTCTGGGACCTTCGATTCCTTTTTGATTCAGTATAAAGATGCTGAAGGCAGACTCCGAGAGCTGTCCACCGAGGGAGATTCTCATGAAATCACCATCCCTGACCTGGCTCCTTCCCACAGATACACAATAGATCTCTATGGCATCTCCAACCAGAGACGTCTGGGTCCTGCCTCTATCACTTTTATCACAGGTCAGTTGAATAGTTAAGAGAGCTGCAGAATTTCTCTGCAAGGCATGTGACTTTCCTTCCTTGTCCAGTTGCTTTCTCCCAAGGATAAAGCTTGATTTCAGCTTCTCTCTGAACCAGGCTCCATGTGATAGTAAATGTATATTTGCCTCTTGGCCAAAACCGAAAGAGCCAACCCTGCAGATCGAGTTGGTGGAGAATGACAAAAAAGAAAGATTGCAAGAGACGCATCTGAAAAAGAAGTACATTTCCAAGAGGGGGATAGAAAAACGGATGTTCGTATGGAGGAAAAAGACAGACTGGGGAAATACCCATTCTAAAAGTCTGCACATATTGTGTGCTTTCTCATTATGGCATTCTTTCTTCACAGGGATGTGTAAAAGTTATATCATTTAGTGTTGAAGGAAAAGTCTTCATCATGGTTCAGTCCAAGCTGGGAATAAGCAACATGGCGACTGCTTTAGAAAGAAGGTTGCAGTTTATTGAAGAGGAGAGCCAGACAGAAAGATGGCTCTGGAAGAAAAGAGAGAGAAAAAAAGGGCTGAGCACATGTAGGGAGTGGGTTTTTATACCTTCTGGAGCCTTTTGTTTGGAGTTGTTCCTGTGGCATGAACTTTGACCTGAGTCTGAGTGTGCCTTTCTGGTATTCTGATGGTGGTGGGTTAATCCTATTATGTCCTGTCATAGAGTTTGGGTGGGGTATGTAAATTTTAGGTGTCTTTGTCTTCTTAATCTTCTAGCTGTGGGCCTCCAACCTTCCTGAATGGTTTACATCTGCATTTCTACAGAGCTGGTTTCTGCTTGAGGGAGGGAGATTGGGGCTATTAAGAAAAACTGCCTCTTTAAGATCCTTTGAGGAAATATATTTTTCTGCTCTTTAAATATTTCTTTCTCTGGGGGGGGCTGACTTCCCACATTAGGAAAAGTTGCCATTGTGAATGGATGTGAATTTTTATTAGGTTAAATTTTTTATATATTTATATTTATTTATTCCATTTCTATAGCTGCACATCTCAGTCAATGACTCTGGGCAGCTTATCATTCCAAAACTGTAAAACAATATAAAAACATCCAAAATAAATATATACAGCAGCTGAGATACTTGGCCAGTTAACAGTAAAATCGGGAAACTAGGCCCGTAACACATTTAAAGCCCTAGGCTTAGGGAATACAGCCAGCCAAATATAATCCATTAAAAAAACAGCTCGCCAATATATTGCTTTATTATTGTAAATAATAAAAGGGATGGAATTTATACAGATCCACACACACAGCTCAACTTAGGACAGCAGACTTAAAAGCACAACTGATTTCTTAAAAGATGGACAAGAGCTAGTGATCTCAAAGAGGGTGGCTATCTTTTATTTCCACAGGTTCACAGGAAGACGTAACTGTCCACAAAACCATCCTCAGTGATCTGGCTGTCTCAGAGGTGACCAGCAACTCTGTCCATCTTACATGGAAAGTGCCGACCGGCAGATTTGATTCCTTTTTACTCCAGTATCAAGACTTGGAAGGCAGTGATCAAGCCCTGCCTATGGACGGAGATTCCCGCGAAGCCATCATTCCCAATTTGGGTCCCTCCCAAAGATACAGATTCAACCTCTACGGCATCTTGGGGACACAGCGCTTTGGACCTATCTTTGCAGACGCTGTGACAGGTTAGCCAACCAGCTTTGACATCTTTTCTTCAATCAAAGAAAGCTCCTCTTCCTTCCCTTTTAATATATTAAAAAATAGGAAAGTATTTCCTAATGTTTTCTTGTCACCTTCCAGCACACATTTACTTTGCACCAAAGATAAATCAGTGAAAGTTAATTATTAATTGAAGATAAGATAAGATTACCTTTATTGTCATTTTTTTACTGTGGGCACAACGGCACACATCAAAAATGAAATTTAGTTGCCTGCTCTCAAAGTGAAACACGTACATGACACACACCTAAACATACTATATACAACACATGTGTAGACCACACCCCTACATATACATAACAAATAAATATTAAATACTGTCCATCTTGAATATATAACGGAAGGAGGAAGCTTGAGAGTTCACAAGGTTAATGCTGTATGGAATGAAACTATGGCTGAATCTGGATGTTCTGCTATGGATACCACGAATTATTATGAACATGCAAAGAACGTGCGTAGAAAGCATACAGGTTTATTTCTAATATTTTTTTCGGAAAGATTTATTGCAAGTTGCAAGGGAAAGCAGTTCTAGGGATGAATGGTGCTGACAGCAATTCTTTTTATTCCCTGTCCCTTATAGCTGCAGTTCAGGAACCAAAAAAGGAGAAACCAGATGAAACGATAGCGATTAAGCCCAGCCTGGGCGAGTTCTCAGTCCTTGACGTCACAAGCAATTCTGTCCATCTTTATTGGACCGTCCCCACTGGGAGCTTTGACTCCTTCTTGATCCAGTACAAGGATGCAGATGGCCAACCCCAAGCATTGCCTGTGGAGGGAGGCTCTCATGAAGTTACTGTGACCAACCTAGTTCCTTCTCGCAGATACAAGTTCAACCTCTATGGAGTCTCTGGACGCAAACGCTCTAGTCCCCTCTCTACTGACGCCACCACAGGTCAGCTTCAGCATTTAGTGCAGTTGGAACTTTTCAAATACTGTAACTTTATATTAACTTTCTTGGTTTCCCTTAACAAGTAATTTTTATTGAATGCTGCAGCTTCTGGATTGCATATCCAACACCAAGGCTCTTATAACTAAGCCTATTTTTTCCCTCTGCTTTAGCCCACATAAGAGGTTCAGGGAAGCCAATTCCTGTTCAACCCAGCCTAGGAGATTTCTCCATCCTTGATGTCACGAGTGATTCTGTCCGACTCCATTGGACCGTCCCCACTGGGAGTTTTGACTCCTTCCTGATCCAGTACAAGGATGCAGATGGGCAAACCCAAATGTTGCCTGTGGAGGGAAGCTTCAACGAAGTCACTGTGACCAACCTGGTTCCTTCTCGCAGATACAAGTTCAACCTCTATGGAGTCTCAGGGCGCAAACGTTCCACCCCGCTTTCCACTGATGCCACCACAGGTCAGCTTCAAGGATTGTGAGATTTTCAGATATCGTACCTTCATATTAGCATGATTGGTTTCCTTAATAAGCAGCGTTATTGCTGCAGTAGTTGCCTAACACTTCAATATCTTGTTTCATACTAGGTCCTGCAAGTTGGATCTTTCGGTGATATTGTGCTGGGTTTTTATTGTTTTGCCTGGCCCCTTTGGAATATTTCAACAGAAGATTCTCCTGACAGGATTGTAGCCAGTTTATTGTTGTTAATTGTGAAGTCGTGTCCGACCCATCGTGACCCCAAGGACAACGTTCCTCCAGGCCTTCCTGTCCTCTACCATCTTCTGGAGTCCATTTAAGCTCACGCCTACTGCTTCAGTGACTCCATCCAGCCACCTCATTCTCTGTCGTCCCATTCTTCTATTGCCCTCAATCTTTCCCAGCATTAGGCTCTTCTCCAATGAGTCCTTTCTTCTCATTAGGTGCCCAACGTATTTAAGTTTCAGCTTCAGGATATGGCCTTCTAAAGAGCAGTCATGGTTGATTTCCTCTAGGATTGACTGGTTTGATTGCCTTGCAGTCCAGGAGACTCGCAGGAGTCTTCTCCAGCACCATAGTTCAAGGGCCTCAATTCTTTGGCACTCAGCCTTTATAGGTCTAAATAATTCCCATTTTTAAAAGTCCTGACAGAATCCAAGATTGGGAATGAAGCCAAGTACAATAGGGACATTCTGAACATAAAGAAGACTAGTGTCATATTATCAACCTCTTGATATCATCTCAAAATTAGCAATACTAGAACAACATCAAACTATACAGAAACATTTTCCAAACACAGTACTGAGTTAACTTTTACTACCCCAAAGATTATTGGAACCTTTCTATTTCTCTCTTTTAGCCCCAGTTCCAAGTATTGAGAATGCAGTTCCTATTCAATCCAGCCTGTGGGACTTCTCGGTCCTTGACGGCGCAAGTGATTCGGTCCATCTCTATTGCACCATCCCTACTGGGAGCTTTGACATCTTTGTGGTACAATACAAAGATGCAGATGGCCAACCCCAAGCCCTGCCTGTTGAGGGAGGCTCCAACGGAGTCATTGTAACCAACCTGGCTCCTTCCACAGATACAAATTCAACCTCTATGGAGTCTCTGGACAAAAACACTATGCCCCCCCCTCTCTACTTATGCCACCACAAGTCAGCTTCAGGACTCAGTGTGCTGAGATTTTTCATTTCTTACAGTACTGGCCAAAATTGTGGAAACCTTTTGGGAAAAGTGTACAGTAGAAATGCCACCTTTGGTTAAGTTTCCACCAATTTTTCTTCTAATTTCTTTATAACTGTAGCCTTGTTCACTTAATAATACTATTTTACATCGCTTTCTGGGCAACCAGTCAACTCTTTGCACCATTACTTTAATTTTATTACGTTTTATATGCTCACTAAATGAAAAAAACACACAAAAAAACCAACTAACTTGACAGCGATCACATAACACACTGACAAATGTCCTCCTCTCAGCTTCAATACGTGATATCAATAACTGAATCCTACTGCAATCTGATTGGCTCATTGCCAAAACAAGATGACACCTGATTGGCTCTCTCAACACTCATGCTCATTGGCTACAATCAGATGAAGGAATGCTACCTGATATCAACCTGTTGTGTTTCCTTTTTCTGGTTATATGGCTATAACTTTTCATAGAATACAGATAATTGAACAATCTTTGTTGCATTACATTCTTGATTAAATTATCTTTCCATTGATATATAATTTTATGGTACTACTCCAAAAGAAATGGTGTTCTTAGCCATCAAACCTCAAAAATACACTTTCCCCAAACGGTTTCCACAATTTTGGCCACTACTGTATAACTTCATATTAATATTCTTAGTTTCTTTAATAAGCAGATTGGTTATTGAATGTTTCCACTCCTGGGTTGCATCTCCAACAGTCAGACATTCTAATCAAGCTTTTCTTCCATATTCCTCTCTAAGTTCAAGCCACAAAGCCCGAGAAGCCAGCTTCTTTCCAATCCAGCCTGGGAGAACTGTCAGCGCTTGATGTCACAAGTGATTCTGTCCGACTCCATTGGACCGTCCCCACCGGGAGTTTTGACTCCTTCCTGATCCAGTACAAGGATGCAAGTGGCCAACCTCAGGCATTGCCCGTGGAGGGAGGCTCCCGTGAAATCACTGTGACCAACCTGGTTCCTTCGCGCAGATACAAGTTCAATCTCTATGGAGTCTCAGGGCGCAAACGCTCCAACGCTATCTCTACTTTTGCCACGACAGGTCAGTTTCAGGCACTTCTCTGCCTGGCAGATTTTAAAACCACATTAGTGTTATTGATTTCCTTAATATATAGCATATTTGCTGATTTTTCTACCTTTGGATTACATTTGCGACATCAATGGAATTCTAACTATCCCTTTTCTTTCGTTTTCCTGTTTAACTCACCTTACAGTCTCAGAGGACACAAGTCCTCTCCAACCTAGTCTTGGAGAGTTGTCAGTCCTTGACGTCACAAGTGATTCTGTCCGACTCCATTGGACGGTCCCTACCGGGAGCTTTGACTCCTTCTTGATCCAGTACAAGGATGCAGATGGTCAACCCCAAGCCCTGCCTGTGGAGGGAGGCTCCACTGAGGTCACGGTGACCGACCTGGCTCCTTCCCGCAGATACAAGTTCAACCTCTATGGGGTCTCTGGGAAAAAACGTTCCAGGCCGCTCACCACCGAGGCCACCACAGGTCAGCTTCAGCATTTAGCATGGCTTGGCACTTTTCAGATAATATTCTTTCATAGTAACGTTCTTGATTTTCTTAACAAGTACCCTTTTTGACCGTTCCAGCTTTTGGATTGCATCTCCAACACCAGTGAAATTAGAACTAAGCCTTTTCTTTTTTTTCCCCCCGTTTTAGTCCGCTTTGCTGACTCAGAGAAGCCAGTTCCTGTTCAACCCAGCCTAGGGGAGTTTTCCGTCCTTGATGCCACAAGCAATTCTGTCCGTCTTTATTGGACGGTCCCCACTGGGAGTTTTGACTCCTTCTTGATCCAATACAAGGATGCAGATGGCCAACCTCAAGCTTTGCCAGTTGAGGGAGGATCCCGTGAAGTTGCCGTGACCGACCTGGCTCCTTCTCACAGATACAAGTTCAACCTCTACGGAGTCTCTGGGCACAAGCGCTCCAGCCCCCTCTCTACCGATGCCACTACAGGTCAGCTTCAGTATAATAATAATAATAATAATAATGATAAAGTTCGAAGGGACCTTGGAGGTCATCTAGTCCAACCCCCTGCTCAGGTAGGAAACCCTATACCATTTCAGACAAATAGCTGTCCAGTTTCTTCTTAAAAACATCCAGTGTTGGCGCATTCACCGCTTCTGGAGGCAGGTTGTTCCACTGGTTAATTGTTCTAACTGTCAGGAAGTTTCTCCTTAGTTCTAGGTTGCTTCTCTCTTTGGTTAACTTCCACCCGTTGCTCCTTGTCCTGCCTTCAGGTGCTTTGGAAAATAGCTTGACTCCCTTTTCTTTGTGGCAGCCCCTGAGATATTGGAACACTGCTATCATGTTCCCCCTCGTCCTTCTCTTTGTTAAACTAGACATATCCAATTCCAGCAACTGTTCCTTAAATGTTTTAGCCTCCAGTCCCCTAATCATCTTTGTTGCTCTTCTCTGTACTCTTGCTAGAGTCTCAACATCTTTTTTACATCCTGGTGACCAAAACTGATTGCAGTATTTAGCATGGCTGAGCACTTTTCAGATATTATTCTTCCACGTCAACCTTTGGAAGGTTAATTTGGAAGATTAAGATTTCCTTAACAAGTTACCTTTTTATTGATTGTTCCGCCTCTTGGGTTGCGTGTCCAAGACCAGGGACATTATAACGGAGGCTTTTCTTTCTTTTCCTTGTTTTAGTTCACTTGGCAGAGGAACCAGTTCCTACCCAACTCAGCCTGGGGAAGTTCTCGGTTGTCGATGTCACAAGTAATTCTGTCCGACTCCATTGGACTGTCCCCAGCGGGACCTTTGATTCCTTCCTGATCCACTACAAGAATGCAGATGGACAACCTCAAGAGTTGCCCATAGAAGGAGACTCCAGTCAAGTCACAGTGACCAACCTGGCTCCTTCCCACATATACAAGTTCAACCTCTATGGAATCTCTGGGCACCAACCCTCCAGCCCCCTCTCCACAGATGCCACCACCACAGGTCAGCTTCATAAGCTAGCATGCTGTGTACTCAACTCACGATCATATAACATGGGGACAGTGTGACAGGGCAGCTATGAGGACCCATCATGAGTCCCCTCATTCAGCACTTTAACTTCAAAAGGTCACTGAACAAGTGGACGTTAAGGGAGGACTGCTTGTATGGCACGATATTGGCACTCACAATGGAGCTATCCTCTTTTTTGCAGAGTTTGATTTGTCTTTTTATCTTTTTTAATTTTATTTTCTATTGTTATTCAGTCCAAAACTCGGCTTTTTCTTTGTCTTTTCTGTTGGTCGGTTCCTGGCAAGGCTTGTTGACTCTTCCTCTTTTGAAACTTTACTGCATCTGAGGGAAATGGCTTGAAGAATTTTTTTCCTCCCTCCAGCTCTGAGGGAAGGAAATAAATGCCTCTCTCTCCTCAGTTTTCTCAGTTGCCCCCTCCTTTCATTTGCTTCTCCACATCAGGGCAGTCTATCTTTTAGTAATTGCCTTGTTATTTCTCCAGGGCTTTGGCTTCGCTTGTTCAGCCTCTTCTTCATGAGGACTGAGGAAGCAATGCTCCCTGGCAGCCATCTTGCCTTCCTTCCCTCTCCCCTCCTGCCCTAAACTGCTGTTTCATTGAGAACTGTTCTTTGATTGGCAGCTCAGTTGCTATGACAATGGGGAGGGCTGAGAGGGGAATGCAAGGAAGGCATACAGGCACTTTTAAACTGCTCAGGAAGTTCTTCCACAGGGCAGTTCAGATATTATTTTGTATTCATTGTCTTGATCTCCTTAATAAGCAAAAGATTTATTGATTATTCCACCTCCTAGACCAGTGGTGGCGAACCTATGGCACAGGTGCCAGAGACGGGACTCAGAGCCCTCTCTGTGGGCACGTGCACCGTCGCCCCAGTCCTAGGCCTTCAGCTGGGTTTTATAAAACCTTTTCTCTTTAGGCCTCCGCCGCCATGTACAAAAAAAAGGTTCAATCAATCAGTCAATTTCAACTTCTCGCGGGGAAAAAAAAGATCTTGCAAAGTTGGAATTGATTGATTGAACTTTTTAGTCCCACCCAGTCTGCCGTTATCACCGCAGCCACGCCCACCCAAGGGGCCATGCCCACCCAATGGGCCACACCCACCCAATTGACCACACCCAGCCAATGGGCCACACCCACCAGGCACCCGATGATGCATAAGTGGGTTTTGGGTTGCAGTTTGGGCACTCGGTCTCTAAAAGGTTCGCCATCACTGTCCTAGATGGCTCTCCAAGACCAGGAACATGTAAGTTTTTTTCTTTATTTTCTCTGTTTTAGCCCGCCTTACAGACACAGAGGACCCAATTCCTGTCCAACCCAGCCTAGGGGACTTTTCCATCCTTGATGTCACGAGTGATTCTGTCCGTCTCCAATGGACCATCCCCACTGGGAGATTTGACTCCTTCCTAGTCCAGTACAAAGATGCAGATGGCCAACCTCAAGCGTTACCTGTGGAGGGAGGCTCCCATGAAGTCATTGTGACCAACCTGGCTCCTTCTCGCAGATACAAGTTCAACCTCTATGGGGTCTCCGGGCGCAAACGCTCCGGGCCCCTTTCCATCGATGCCACCACCACAGGTCAGTTTCAGGATATGGCATGGATGGGGGTTTTTATATATTATCATTGTTGATTTTTTTAACTAGCAACCTTTTTGCTGATGGTTCCAACACTTGGGTGTTATCTCAAAGACCAGGGAAATTATAAGTTAGCTTTTTCTTTTATTTCCTTATTTTAGACCATCTTACAGACTCAGAGAAGCCAATTCCTGCCCAACCCAGCCTAGGAGAGTTTTCCGTCCTTGATGTCACGAGTGATTCTGTCCATCTCCATTGGACTGTCCCCACTGGGACCTTTGATTCCTTCCTGGTCCATTCAATAATTTATATAGCCACCAATCTTATAAGCAACCCTGAGTGGCCCCCAGTCAAAACTTAAAACAGCGTAAAAGCCATATTAAAACTATAAACACTAAACACATCAGTTGTGTAGACAGAAGAAAGGTTATGGTAACAGTTTCCCATTTGTTTCTATAATTCTAGCTCCTATTCCAGATGGTGAGACGGCGATTCCTGTTCAACCCATCCTGGGAGAGTTATCCGTGTTTGATATCACAAGTGATTCTGTCCGTCTCTATTGGACCGTTTCCACCGGGAGCTTTGACTCCTTCTTGATCCAGTACAAGGATGCAGATGGTCAACCCCAAATGTTGCCTGTGGAGGGAGGCTCCCGTGAAGTCACCGTGACCAATCTGGTTCCTTCTCGCAGATACAAGTTCAACCTCTATGGAGTCTCAGGGCGCAAACGCTCCAGCCCTCTCTCCACTGATGCCACCACAGGTCAGCTTCAAATGACATGCTACCTGGGAGCTTTTAAGATATTCTAACATCATATTAACATCTCTGATTTCCTTAAGAAATAGCTTAGTTGCTGAATATTAGAACTGCTGGATTTCATCTACAACGTCAGTACAATTTTAACTAAGTCTTTCTTCTCTCCCCTCCCCCTATATTACAGTTTCAAAGAAGGCTACCACTGTCCAACCCAGCCTAGGGGAGTTCTCCGTCCTTGACGTCACAAGCGATTCTGTCCGTCTCCATTGGACCGTCCCCACTGGGAACTTTGATTCCTTCCTGGTCCAGTACAAAGATGCAGATGGCCAATCCCAAGCATTGCCTGTGGAGGGAGTTTTCAATGAAGTCACAGTGACTGACTTGGTTCCTTTACGCAGATACAAGTTCAATCTCTATGGAGTCTCTGGGCGTAAACGTTCCAGGCCTCTCTCCACTGATGCCACCACAGGTCAGCTTCAGGATATTTTTT